TATTACATGGGACTCATAACATAAATTGTGAAAAGTGGGTGTTACTTCTGTGTGCACCTCTGCCTACCCCTTCGGGGATAAAAGGCGTGATGTTATGTATGTTATGTATGTATCATTCTATGTTTATTAACTTTTTTACATGAAATACTTTTAAATATCTGGCCACTACTGCATGTTCATGCTATATTCTTTGTATTTATGTATATTAGGTATTAAATTGTTGGTACGACATTAGAAGAAGCATTCATAATAATATGTAGGCCGTATCGCAGATTGGCTCACTTCATGCAATGCTCAAGTACCCATTTCGTGAAATGTTTAACTGCTCACACCACGAGATGGTTTGGATCAATTTAATTAAAAGTTTCAGTTTCAGTGTGGGTATCTAAATCATGGACTAGCCTAGACTACATCGATTTGGCCAAAGGTGGATGACAAAATCGTGAATTGTAGATAGAAGACTCAATGATCTCGTCAAATTGAGTTGTCCACATAATGAAATGCGATCATTTTAGAAGCCACCGGCAGCTTTACATTTCATGAAGTGAGCAAATCTACGATATGGCTACGACATATGTTGGAGAATAATTTTCAGAGAAATATAAGTATTTGTTCTCTAAATTTTTGTTTAAACAGTTTGTGATATTGACCGCAATTTTTGTGAGTAGATGACGTATGTATAAATGTACATCGTTAGATTAAATAATACCTACTGTTATTTTATTTTAATTTTGCATAAAATATATGTAGTTCAAAATGAGTACCTACAAGTTTCCATCACCCCTCAAATTGTTAAAGAAAATAATTAGGTTAGGTACATCATTTTCACTTTATTTAGGTCAACATTATTAATAAATAGTATTATTTTTCTTAAATCGGTTTCAGCCGGAGAAAATGTTTAATGAAGTATATTTGTAAAATAATTAAAAAATATATTTTGTATATCTTAATGTTTTTTTATAATTTTGCATTGAAAGTTTTTGGAAAATATGTCATCAGAGATAAATAATCACAAGTATATAACATTTGCTTATGCCATATAAATTTTTATGAAGTTTATCCTTGAATTTCCCATCTTGTAGGTAAAATATTTAAAAACTTCGTATATGGCACAAATTCATAACTCCTATTAGAATTAATGACAACCCAAACACTGGTTTAATAAATCTTTTCTCATTCAGGCCTTGATCTTTAATTATAATTTATAGCTGCATTTATCACAACCAGACCCCATATTGTGGTAAAACCCAATATTATTGTTTTGTACATTGCTAATTATTAAAATTGGAATTTTTAAGTGATGCTTGTATTAACAAGAAATGACTTTTTTAGATTGATTAAATAAATACAAGATTTTTATATAGATCTTTTATTTACACACTAATGTTTACATAATTATACTTTAACAAAAGCACGTTAAATTTATACCTAACTAATAGTTACAATCACAACAAGTCAATAATTTAAAACAAAGTACATTATCACATCTGGCTGCACTTAGAAATATGTAATAACATTTTATCCATTATTATTTGTCAAAAACTGTTGTATAATACAACTATTATACTGATTTGATCTTATTTACACACACTAGTGCAGACACCTTTGTATTCATATCACTAAAGGAAACTTCATCAGAAGTAACTGGGTCCCATACTTATGCTTATGTATTCCCCATTAAGACCATTGCACTTCAGATACGTTAGTACTAATACAAAATAAACAAATATTGAATAAAAGAACAATAATACTATACCTTTTAACATGATTTAGTAGTTTTTATCATAGCTCTTTATACTGCAATCCCACTGCGATCATTTTAGTGCCTGATATCTTTAGATAATTATGAAGAAACTTAGTGCAAAAATACCGCTTGTATTTGGAATAGCTGTAGTGTTTATTATTAGTAAGTTGATTTATGGAAGCAATGTTGTGCTATAGGAAACTATGATACATCAGATCATCAGATTTAATACTTATATTGGCTTGTAAAGCAATGTTGTGACATACTTCTTTCTGTATCGGTGGGTGGCTGACAACACCATGACACCGTCTTTGATGGACAATGCATACAGGTGATTCAACATAACATGATTAGGTTCAGGTAACAATGTTGGCTCACACTGAAAAAGAATTAAGAAGTATCATATTAAATTGATGATTAGGTACACATTATAAAAGTGAACTAAATAACAATAAACAAATGGGGGGGGTACTTACAGACAATGGTGTATCTTTATTCAGAATGACTTGTAATAGATGAGGGGGCAAAATAGGTGGCCCTGAAACTTTCTCCCATGGCTTGGATTGAGGTATTTCCTATAAAATTAAATTATAAACTTTTAAAATCAGCATGGTGGTACATTTAATTTTTTCTTGGTCCTAATATTTGCCAACAAACCTGTGAATACTCTGTTTGCGCACTGCTATGTATACCTTCACTGTCCTTTGCAAGAGCTTGGAAAACTTCAAAATCTGACATTTTAACTGTCACCAAATTATTCTTACTTCCCATGCCATTATCTACTACCTTCTGTAACAAAATAAATAAAAGCCTGAAAATATGAGTGCAGAGACTGTATTACATATTAAGGAATAAATTCTATAACGTGGTTTGAAGCACAAAAGCGAATATATGCTGATACAAACTTGTTAGTGCAATTATTTACATTTGAATGCAGTAACAAGAGTAAAACAACATTGTAGTGAATATAAATAAAACATACCACCGTGGGGTCATGTCGCCATTCTCCATCAACAAAATACTTGTACTGATGTTCACCTTCAGGTAAATCTATTATAGTTACAAAATCTCCATGGGACTTGACCATAGGAATTGTTTTCCAGTCAGTAAATGTTCCACTTATATATACCTAAAATAAACAAACATACACTTATTAGAAATTGCATTTGACTAACTTAAACTATTAATGACTTTAACTTACCTGTTTACCCCCTCCTTCCCATTTAAAAACAGTTGGCAAAACTTTTACATCGTCAATAATCTTGCTACTGTCAGTCAACGTATTCGATCTCTCACGTGGTCCACTATATTCTACATCACTTTCAGGAACAGCTTTGGTATAATATGGTGCACCATCTTCAATGTTATTTTCTTCGTCTCTGGTAATACGATCATCATCAACCTTCTTGTCAAATGTGAACGCTTCGCCTTCTTTGACTGGCGACGACGGTCCAACGTCAGGAGCTTTCGTCACAGCGTCTCGGTGCCATTCTTTGGGTTGATTACTCCCTGCGTTTCCCATTCTTTCGCCACACAAAATAATTTACCAAAACCTTTTTGTCGCATAGATTTATTACGACTTGATGATGATGACATTGACAGAATAAAGTGGTTTGACGTTGATAACACATGACGTTGACGGTTCAAGTGCGTGACGAAAAGAGGAGACCACTAATTTAGGTTGATTATTTTTGTTATTGATGGAGTTTCAGTCTTCGTTTCAGCCAATGCAGTTATGAAAATGTACATCACACGCAGATACACATGACTATGTGTATCTATGTGTGATGAATGAACACGACTGTGTTCATTATTTATATTACTGATAACATCAACAATAACATAACATCGTACCCTTTTATACCCTTTTTTTATACCCGAAGGGGTAGGCAGAGGTGCACATTAAGCCACTATTTAATGTAACACCTACTTTTCACTAATTATGTGATGAGTGCACTGATATGATAAGAGTATGGATAAGAAACAACTAGGAAAAAATCGTGCCTACATAAACTTCACTTGGTCACCCGTAATGGCGGATAGAACTAGGGATGAACTTTTAAAACTGTAGAAATATCGATATTTTAGAATTGGTTTTAATTGACTTATCAATAAAATATCATTAT